GGTGGGCTCCCTTTTCATTTTGTTGATGGTTTCCTTTGCTGTGCATAAGCCTTTTATTTTGATGCAGTCCCATTTGTTTATTTTCTCCTTAGTTTCTCTTGCCCTAACATATTGCTATGAGAGATGTCTGAGATTTTACTGCCTATGTTTTCCTCTAGGATTTTTATGGTTTCATGCCTTACATTTAAGTCTTTTATCCATTTTGAATTTACTTTTGTGTATGGTGTAAGTTGGTGGTCCAGTTTCATTTTTTTGCATGTATCTGTCCAATTTTTCCAACACCATTTATTGAGAAGACTGTGTTTACTCCACTGTATGTTGTTGCCTCCTTTGTCAAATATTAATTTACCATAATAGCATGGGTCAATTTCTGGGTTCTCTGTTCTGTTTCACTGATCAATATGTCTGTTCTTGTGCCAGTACCAGGCTGCTTTGATTACAGTGGCTTTGTAGTATATGTAGTATATGCAAGTTTTAAGTGGTATCTTTCATTTATTTTAAATCTGAGCTGTTATTTATATTTAAATATAACATTTGTCTTTACCCTTGAGTTGTTTAAAAATTTCCAAATTTGGAAATTAGAGACTATAAAATATGTTGAAGTGGTTTTTTTTGGCTAAGTTTATAAGCAATATTTGTATATGTTCCATGTATACTCAAGAAAATTGTGTATTCTCTATTTTTTTGGATGTAGATCTATAAACTTGTCTATTATGCCAAGCTTTTAGTTTTATTCTTCAAATATTATGTAACATCACTGCCTTAGTGATTATTTTGGTCTGCCTAACTTCTCATAAATGAGGAGAAATGTTGAAATCTCCACACTACAGTTGTAGATTTATTAATTTCTCCTTGTAGTACAAACCATTTTTTATTTTTCATATGTTTTGAGGGTTGTTTTTTTTTCAGGTGCATGCAGGCTTTAAGTGCTATGCCTTTTTGTACAACTGAATTCTTTATTATTATTTAGTGATTCTCTCTATCTCTCATACTATTTCTAATTTTAAAATCTGTTTTTCTCTGATATTAATAGCTACATCAGTTTTACTATGGTTATCATTTGCTGGATATATCTTTTTCTTTCCTTTAACTTTACCTTTGTGTGTCCTGTTACTATGTAGGTATGTATGTTATAAGTTACATATATCTAAATATTGTTTTTACCCAGACTGTCAACATTTTAGCTGAGAAGTTTGATGTGTTTATATTGATTATTATTATTCATATATTTTTACCTACTTTATCTTTATATTTGTATCCCATATTTTAATGTTTTTTCTTAGTACATTTTTTAACCATTTTCACATCTTTTAAGTTCCTTACTACTAAACCCCAATGATACTGATATTGTCCAGACTGAGTTATATGGAGATATATATCTTTGAACTTGTTTTTTCTCATCTTTTTTTAGATCACAACCACTTAACCAAGATATTTGGTTGTTTTATTTCGTATTTTTGAAGCACACCTTTTAAATATATCCTTCTAGGTAACTTCTTTACCTGAAACTGTTTTCAGTGTTATTTTTGGATAAACATTCTTAAGTATCTTATGCCTCTAAGAATGTTTTTATGATGGTCTCATATGTGAATTACATTTGAGCTGGATATGAAACTGTGTTTTAAGTTCTTTACTTTCAATTTTTAAAAAATATTAATTCACTTTTTTCTTTCATGTAATTTTGCTTTTGAAAAATCTTATGTTAATCAGATTCTTGTTACTGTGGACATAATTTTCTCTTTTTCTATTTAGGCTTTTAGGTTTTTCTCTTTATCATTGTGTATTCTTAAATTTTAATATAGTGCATCTGGGTGTAGATTTTCTTAAGCCCTTTTATTTTTATATCAAAATAAAAATAACACAAATAAAATTTAAAAAAATTATCTTAGTCTTTTTTTAGTGTTAATTCTCAGAAACATATCTCCACTGTTTCTTAAAATACTTTTTCCTTTCAATTTAATTTTCTTTCTTTGAGACTGCTAATATCTATATTTTGTTCTAATAATTTTATCTTCTGTACTGGTTTCCTTTTTTTTTCATATTTTCTAATTCTTGGTCTATTTCTTCATACCCTGAGAGATTAATTTGGTTGTATAATTTAAAAAATTCTTTAGTCTTTTTTCAGTGTATCTATTATGCTATTTTTATTTATTTTATTTTATTATTGTTTTAAATGTTTTTTATTTTTATTGTTGAGAATATTACAGATGTCCCTTTTTTCCCCCATTGATTCCCCTCCAGCACACATCCATCCCACCCCAGGCTTTCCCCATACAATGTCTGTGTCCATGGGTTGTGCTTATAAACATATAAGTTCTTAGATTAATCTCTCCCCACCCACACCCCAGTCCCTGCCTTCCCTCTGAGATCCCTCAGTTTGTTCCATGCTTCTGTGTCTCTGGATCCACTTTGTTGATCAGTTTATTTTGTTTATTATATCCCACATATTGGTGAGGTCATGTGGTACTTGTCTTTCTCTGACTGGCTTATTTCACTTAGCATAATACTTTTTAGTTCCTTCCATGCTGTGCCAAAGGCTAAAAGGTCTTTCCTCTTTACAGCTACAAAGTATTCCATGGTGTAAATGTGCCACAGCTTTTTTATCTACTCATCTACTGATGGGCAACTTGGGCTGTTTCCAGATCTTAGCTATTGTAAATTGCACTGCACTGAACATAGAGGTGCATAAGTTCTTTGTGATTGGTGTTTGGGGTGTCTTAGGATATATTCCTAGAAGTGGGATCACTGGGTCAAATGGCAGGTCAATTTATTTTACAGATTTCTTTTTTTAAGTATTATATTTTCACACCTCTTATTTCTGCTTGATCACTTTGGCCATTTTTATGTTCAACTGTTTTATATTAAAAATCATTGCATATATCTTTCTTAATTTCTTTAAGATTGTACATGACCAATGTATGCACTTGGTTTCATATGTTTTTTTTTCCTTTTGATGTTATTTCTAACACTGTTTTTTTACTTTTGATATATTCATTTTACTCAAATATTTTGATATTTTTACCTGTGAACTCATTTTCTTCAGGGAATATTGGCTACAGTTAAAGGCAGATATATGTGGAAGGTCAGATCCCCATCCTTCAATCTCTATGATCTCAGTAGTGAAATGTAGATAAAACCTAGGGTGGAGAAATTTCAACAACAGGAACCACTGTCAATTATTTCTCATCTCAAAACAATTTCTTAAATGATGATTTTATGTTTTTTACTAGTAAGGACTATTGTCTTAAGGAGCATGTTCTACCTTGTTGAAAAGATTTTTTATGATAAATTATTTATTATATGTCTCTAAAATTTGTGAATTTGTTCTTAATATGTTTTCCTATTGTCATGTTAAAGATTTTCTTTATTGAAAGAGTAATCTGTTTTTTTTAAAGAATAATAAGCATTTCTTTATAAAATATCTATGCATTTGCCAACTAATTTATAAAATAAACTCTTAGACCTTATTACTTAAGTGAATTATATCTATGATAATAATAATAAGTTTATATAAAGTAAAGATGAAGAGTCCTAATAGAGTGAATAATGAAAATAAATAATATTTGAAAATATACATCAGAATACCATATGCATTCTATAATGTCTCTATTGATATATACATACAGTTATAGATTAGCCTGATTTCCAATGTATTTTTAGTTTTCCCTGAGAAATATGCACTATCCATTATATACACAGCTTAATGGATTATTCAAAAATTAAATTTGATTTTCATATGTTTTTTCTTCACATTTATTTCTAGTCTGACTTTTTAAAATAGTTTATTGATTTTTAGAGAGAGAAGAAAGGAGAGGGAGAAAGAGAGAAATATTGATGTGAGAGCATAATATCTATCAATGGACTGCCTCCTGCATGCCCCCTACCTAGGACCAAGCCTGCAACCCAAGCATGTGCCCTGACAAGGAATTGGACCAGCAACCTTTCAGTGCACAGGACAATGCACAACCAACTGAGCCACAACAGTCATGGCTCCAGTCTGATTTTATAAGTATCAAAAAAATTTCCTTTGTTTGAATTGGAGTTTTACAAAAAGTTGAAATAAGGAGTTACTTTCTGTAATAATCTGGTTATTATTTGTATTGTTTCTAGTTCTTAAAAGAAAGAAAAAAGTTGCTACTTATTCAATTCCTAGTTTACTGTCCTGAAATGAAATGAAGATACTTAGAATGGAAATATTTCAAATATTAAAATTATATATTTTGAATGTAGTTTTTTCTGGAATAATGAATATTCAATTATAAATGTTACTTAAATTTAATTTGCTTGGGAGACCAAATCAATAAGCGCATTTTAAATAATCAATTAGTACCATTTTGAATTGTGTATAAGACCTCTTAGTTTTCTGAAAAATTATTCCTAATAGCACTTTGATAATTACAGTGTTGCTATAATTAGATGTACCCTATATCTATTGAGGCAAAAGTAGTTTTAGACTATTTTATGTTACTACCTGGAATATTTATAATAAACTAGAACATTTAGTGTACAGTGAGAAAAGTATGCCTTCCAGGAAGGAAAGAAAGTTTCTTATTTAATTAACAGTGTAAAACACTTCTTGACTGTGAGTTGCTAGTATCACTGATGGTATTAAGGAGGCTTCCAAAGTGTTCAACCATTATAATTAGTGTATGAAACTCAATGATCTTTCCAGCTTTGCTAAGATGTATATTGATTTTTATCCAAATGGTATTTTTAATCTTAATCATTTGTAAACAGATAATGTACTAGATCAAACTTTTATAACTTTATAAGTATTAATTAGAATTGTCCTTCATAAGTGAATTTATTTATTTTTTGCTTAAATACAAATAACTTTTTAAGCATTTTCACAAACATACTACATTGATTTACACACTATTAGTTAAAATTAAAATACATATTATAAATAACTTTCAAAGTGGCAAATTTAAAATATACAACTAAATATATCAATGTCTTCAGAAGGCTAAATTGACCTTTTCTTTCTTTTGTCTCTGAAGTTATCTGGAAGTATTTTGAATGTGTATAGTGGTGAGCAGAAAAATTCATCAGTTAATATGGGCCTTACAAATGCTTCCTACCCAAGGAGTCTATCAATGAAAAAAAAAATTACAGGTAATGTTGCTTTTATAGTTTTATCCTTTTTAGTCAATTACATAATAAATGAATGACATATATTACCAAACTAAATAAAAATTTTAAAATATTATCAAAATTGTCAGTTAAAATGGGGGACATTTAGAGAGCATAACTTACAGTTCAACTGACTTGGTTCATTCTTTTAGGAATTGAACCAATTCCTAAAAATTGAGCAAATAAACAAATCTGCTCTTTCTTGCTCTTTCTCTCTCTCTCCCTCTCTCTCTCTCTCTATATATATATATAGAGAGAGAGAGAGAGCAATATATATATTTATATGTATAAATATATGTATATATATGTATATATGTACACATATACATATAAATATAAATATATATGTATACACATAAATATATATATGTATATATATTTATACATATAAATATATATTTATATATATGAGGGCAATATATATATGTTTATATGTGTGTGTATATATATATATATATATATAGAACAGCTTGACTAAGTTTATGTAACAGACTCATTTTGATATTAAATAGATGCAATTTATTAACATGGTTGAAAAATAATAGGTTAATAGACTGGGGAAAATTAGTACTTTTGTATGAAGACTTTAATATAAAACAAGCAATTAGATTTTCCCCTTTAGCTTGTTTTATAAATTTCATGATAGACTCACATTTAATTTTCTCAAGGGGATAAAAACCCCTCTAATTTTAAATAGTACTTTTCAAAATTGTTACAGTTCAAAGGGGCACTTTCAAGTAGCTTCAATATAGAACTGAGGATATCAAGGGTTAGAGGAGTCATTTTCCCAAAGTCATACAGCTAAGTAGAGGAAGAAATAGATAAATAAGGATTTCTTGACTTATATGTCCACTGTTAGTTTCTCCATATGAATAAAATAAAATTTATCTGAAATTTCTGTAATGTATTTTTAGTTTGGAGCCTAAACCTTGTTCTTCAATAATTTTTACACAGTTAATGTTAACATTTTTTAGTAAATGTAATATGTCCATTCTGGAAATCTAATCAATAACTCAAAAATATCTATGCATTCAAATAATTTAGGCTAAAATTAATTACTATGGTTTGAAATGAGCAAATCTAAATAAATGTATTCTTGTATTATTTTAAAAATTAGAATAATTTAAGGAACACTGTATTAATTATCTATTGCTCTATAACAAATTACTCCAAAACTTAACTGCTTGAAATAATAAAAGCTTATCTCATATAATCTCTATGGGGACAGAAATCCAGAGGTGGATCAGAAAATTGGTTCTAACTCAGAGTCTCATAAGTCTATAGTCAAGATGTTTGCTGGAGATAGACATTTGACACTTGATTGGCAGGAGGATGTGTTCCCAAAGGTGGCTCGCTCACAGGTCTTGCAAATTAGTGCTGCTTGTTGGCAAGTGACCTTGATATTTTACAATGTGGACTTCCATAGAGGTGCTCGTGTCATCATGACATGACAAGTGCTGATCCAAGACACACCAAATTGGTAGTAGCTAAAAATGTCTTTTATGACCTAGTCTTGGAAGCCACACTAGTCATTTTCACATTATTCTATTGGTTTCACAGGTCAACCCTTATTCAATATGAGAGGGAATTACCAAGTGTGTGAATATCATGAATGAGAATCATTGTGGGCCATGTTGGAGGCTATCACAAATGCTCACAACCACATAGCACATAAAGTGTCATTTATTGGAAGTGTGGAATTGTTTGATAGCAATATCTTAGAAATGTACTTAGTTACAATGCTTAGAATGTAGAAATCATAATTATTTAGGAAAAATGTATGTTGTAGGAATTTAGGTTGAAAAACTTTGAATAATCTTAAAGTTCTGGAAATAACAATGATTGAGCAGTTTAATATTTGCTGTGCACTATACCTCTTAATCATCACAATATTATACCAGTTTTACAGATGAAGAGCCTGAGACACAGAGAACTTAGAGAATAGATCACATGGCTATTAAATAGAGGGCCAGAATACAAATCCAGGTTTTTCTACTTAAAGTCTAAGGGGTTTGCCATTGCCTCTTACTAAGAGCACTGTCTTCAAATTTCTAAATATTTGCATAAAAATATTATACCATTTGGAGCAAGTAATGTTATATTTTTACCTAGTATTCCTGAATTTTATTGATTGAATGGGTATAAAGTAGAACTAAAAATTGTTTTAATTATCTCCATTTTGATCAGAAACTGATACTCGAGCTTTGGCAAAAGAGAGACAAAAAAAGGACAACCACAACCTCAGTGAGTATATTTTCCATTGCTTCCAAACAAAATTAAGTAATGGAAGAAAAAATGCATGGAAGTTAAAATGATTGGTCATTCACCGTCACTCCATAAGTATTTTGAGGTCATATGACAAAAATTAGTACATGCTCATAGTTGAGCTATTTGGCAAAATTCAAACAATGTGAACTCAGAAAAGCTATACACTTTTACAGAGTTAAACATTTCAAATTCTCAGATCACTCTCTCAAGAAGGCTGTGTGTGATGGAGATGAGAGCACTTAGTTATAGTTGAATTCTGTTGTGACTCAGGTTTAAAGAGTTAAAAGTGACTTTAGAAAGTGTATACCATTTAAATAACAAGAAACATAACTCCAGGTTCTTATCTTTTTGTCAATGTTCTCCTTCCTTCCGAATGATAAGTTATCTGAAAGGTATTACTTATGTTGGATTGTGGAATTCCGTCTACCAGTCCAACATAAGTAATACATATATGTCTCTGATGCCTTCCTAGGGTCAGTTTAACTCTGATAACAGGTCTCATGAGATGAAGAAATACAGACAAAGGAAGTAGTTTAGCGAGAATGTTGAGTTTGATAGTGTTTGGCCATGTCTCAAGTGCTTAACGGTCTCATGTGAGCTTAACCAATTGAGTGTGAAGCCTTTTTATAATGGGACCCAAATCATAAAACGAGAAAGGAATAAAATAAAATAAAAATAATAAAAAATGTTAATGCTCTAAAACAAACCAGGAATTTCCTTACATGTGATTAGCAGAAATTGATTCTACATAAACCTGTGAAACCTGAATCTGTCTGTTCATATGCACCTGTCCATGTCACAGAGTATTCACAGTTTGCTGACTATGTGACCCTAAGGGATGAGCTGGCAAGAGATTGTAACAGTCCGTAGGGTAGTTGTGGTGAGGAAAACTGATTCTGATAGCCCTAGGGGTAGAGCAGATAAGCTTCAGTCCAGATTATGAGACAAGTAGAACATGAGTAGGGAGAGCTAATTATTGATAGAAAGAATTAATACATTAAGGAACTATGGGCTTCTCTCTTAGTTTAACCTGCTAATTATTACTCTCCTTGCTTCTTTCTTTGTTCTTTTATTTCTGCAGCTTAAACAACTGATCATTTAATATAAAGTATGATAGGTGCCTGGTATGTCCATTATTGAAATGTTTTCTAATCTGGGTTTCCTTACTGAGTGATCTTGCTTTTAGGAGATACTAGGGTTAAAAAAAATTAATATCACATTTTAAATATGATGAGTCTAGGCCAGCCCCTAGAATTTGTGAAGATTATGGCAAGAAAACAGAAGTCCAACTTACCAGATGTCTAAATATTTAAAAGTTATAACTTGAGCTAGAAAATGCTAAAATAACTATGCTCTATTCTTCCTAATAACTGGAAGGTCAGGTATGAATTTAAAATTCTCAGATCCTCAGAGTTCTGAGTGGGAATGTCAGGATGGGGCAATGCCAGCCCATATCACTTGTCTCTTCAGCCCATATTCCATTTTATGTTGTCAGTGGCCCCAGGCATAAGTGTGAACACCTCATGCAGTGCATTGAAGCTCCATGCAAATTTCTGCAAACAACTGCCCCTTGCCCACATCTTGGGCCTCAGGGTGAGCACACTGGTGTCATAGTTCTCCCTCAGGAAGATGGTCCTGGAAAGTGGCCTGCATGGACTCTGAAAGTGGGCTCAGGGTATTGGAGAGGATAGTCTTCATGCAAAGTACTCAGCATGCAGTTTAGAAGGGCTTCACTTGGCTCTGTAGCTGCCTTACTCAGTGAGGATGGGCATGATGAGAGAAGGCAAAAGTGGTCCCCCTTAAGTATGGGGTCCTGGATAAGGGCCCCTCTTGCCTGGATCTATGGACAGGAATGACTGATTATATCAAAAACTTTGTGAAGAGTAAAACCACACATGGCATGAAATAACTTAGCATTTTGTTGTTGTTCATCCTCATCTGAGGATATTTCTTCCCATTATTTTTCATAGAGAGTGGAAGGGAGAAGGGAGGGGGAAGAGAAAGAGAAAGAGAAAGAGAGAGAAACATTGATGTGAGAGAGCCACATCAACTGATTGCCCCCTGCACAAGCCCTGACCAGGTACTTGACCTTGATCAGGAATCAAATCCAGGACCCTTCAGAGCACTGGCTGACACTCTAGCCACTGAACCACACCAGCAAATGCGTTTAGCAATTTTTTAAAGATTGGCCCTTTTACAAATAACTAGTAGTACTAGGTATTAAAACATTGAGAAATTAAAGATCTCATAATTGAACATGTATCAAGCACAGTCTAAATAGAGTAGAAACTTCTGATATTTCACATAAGGTGCATTTCAATAATAGATTGTGGAGAAATAGTATAGGACTAAAACACCACCCTGTTTTGAGATAAAATTATGAACATCCTTCAGAGCTGTTATTCATTTTATATTTAAAAGTCTGTTTTATAATATAGAGGTGAGTATGCATGAACAGAGTTATTAATAAATTCTCACTGTGAAATATATATGTATTTCTATCAGCTTTACCTTTCTTTTCTTTTCAGTTTTTTTTTTTTTTAATGTAGTGTCATTGTTTTTTGAATCACATGCACAAGAAAAATAATATTGATAAAGAGGGAAAATAAGCTCTATCAAGAATCAATTATATTCTAATTTCAGAGGAGTTCCAATGTATTATTCCTGAAGGTCAAATCCATTCATGGTAAATTGCTTTGTAGAGTAGGTTCACCAAGACAATTGATGATCTTTCATGACTTTCCTTGTTTCTGATAGTGGATCCTAATTTTCAAGCATGTATTGTTTAAGTATTTTCCAATATTTTTGATATATGATTTTCTGTTTCTTCATGACATTTTTCTTTCTTTAATTTCCTGTACCAGACTATAAGACTACTCTATAGTCTATGCATGCTCTTAGAGGAGGTCAATATAGGAAACTACATATTTGTATATCTGACATTTATTGAACATTTATTAAATGGACTAAATTTCCATTAGTGATGACTGCATAAAAATGCAAGCAGAGAAAACAGTCTTTGAATCAGAACCTGTATCAGTAGTTCTCAAAGTGTGGGCCCTAGTCAAACAGCATCAACTGGAAGCTTGTTATAAATGCAAATTCATAGGCCCCAACCCTGACCAACTGAAATCAGAATGTCTACATGTGGGTTACAAATCTGTTTTAGCAATCCTTCCAGGTACATCTGATGCACACCAAAGTTTGAAAACCACTGCTCTATATATTATTGAAAAAATTTAAGTTAGAAAAATATATTTAAAGCTTAATCAAAATACAATTATTTAGCTGCTCCTATATACCAAGCATTCTTGGGTTATAAAAATGAGAAGAAATGGTCTCTGTCCTAAAGAAGTCATAATCTATTTTGGCACGCACACCTACTGTGTGCCAAACTTTGTGTTAGGCCTTCAGGGAAGTATATAAGAAGAGCTAAGTATGATGCAGACCTCAAAATATTATAATCCTTATGGACTGACAAAATGAATATATGTGAAATAATGGCCAAATAAAATATATCTATATCATCTATATCTATATCTATATCTATATCTATATCTATATCTATATCTATATCTATATCTATATCTATATCTATATCTATATCTCTATATATCTATATATCTCTATCTATCTATATATCATCTATATCACCTATATCTATATCATCTATATCTATATATCTATATCTATCTATATATCATCTATATCATCTATATCTATATCTATATCATCTATATATCTATATCTATATATATCAGTATGAGTAAATATTACAGCATTTCAAGGAACGAAAAACATGTTTTGGTTAGGAGATGTATTTTTTAAATATAGGGAGGAAATATTTTTAAAATATGAATAATAGAATCATAATTCCAATATTGTTATTTTCACTTTTAGAATAAAGCATATTTAAATTTTTATTTTATTTCTGAGGAATACTCTTTTGACTAAGTGATAATTTTCATTTATTGTTTTTAAAAATCATTAAGAAAGTTGACAGTTATTCAAACGTGAATTGTACTTTAATGAGAACAATAACTAATATTTGTTTTTTAATAGTTGAAAGAAGAAGAAGGTATAATATTAATTACAGAATCAAGGAGCTTGGCACTCTTATTCCAAAGTCTAATGATCCGTGAGTTCAAAAATTATTTCTATAATAATGTTATGGTTTTCATACCTCCCAAAATAGGTGGGAGGGAAGAGGGGTAGAGGAAGACTAATGACTAGGAAACTAAGCAGCTTATGGTAAAGATTAGGCTGCTTCTGGTCTATTCAAGGCTGATTGTCATTAAGCACCAAGGTTGTTGCTAACAGTTGTCCTTTTGAGCTATGAAAGATAAGTAAATTCTTCTTAGCTTATAGTGGATCTTTCTGTGTGATACCAGTCTTGACAAAATTCAATGGTAATGTCACATGCTATTACACTGACTGCTATACTCAATTTATGGTTATAACAATTCTTTCAATGTAAGATTTATGTGTACATGAATATTGAATTATTGGGTTTTCAAAGGTTCCAAAGTTCTGGAGACATGCAGATACAATTAAACACATAAACAATTTTTTTTTAAAGGAATTAAAAACTCTTACCAAACAAGCAATAAAACTGAGAGCTTTAACACTAGAGATCTGGATCGGTATGAAAATAATCAACTTGCCATTCAAAAGAAAAACTGTTGCCTTTTTTTTTTTTTAAAAATATATCTTTATTGATTTCAGAGAGAGGAAAGGAGAGGGAGAGAGAGAGATAGAAACATTAATGATGAGAGAGTCATCATTGATTGGCTGCCTCTTGCATGTCCCGGACTGGGGATTCAACCTGCAACCCAGGCATGTGCCCTGACCAGGAATCAAACAGTGATCTCCTGAATCCTAGGTCGACACTCAACCGCTGAGCCATGCCTGGCCGGGCTGTTGCTTTTTTAATAGCAACTTTTCCAAGAAAAATGTTTAAAGATCATTGCTCAATATAAAACCATAGCATTTTGTGGGAGGAGCCTATATTTTAATCACCTCTGTGCCAAAAACAGTACTTCAAATGAAGCAGGTATTCAATTCAATAAATATTTGATAAATGAATAAATAAATGAATGATTGTAGTTAAAATAAAATAGAATTGTACTATAAAAAACATGTTGACTGATGCCAACCACTAATTGATTATCATGAATTTTTAGCCAAGTTTTGGTTTTATACACATACAAAGTCAATTAAACAAGATGTTTAAGGTTAGGAATTTCAACAAATAATTGACTAAAGTACCAATTTAAAATGTTTTACAAAAAACATAATAACATGATCTGTAGCATCAATAATGACTTGAAAAATGTTTCATTTAAACTGAGAACTGGCCTCTCCAAATGCTGGCAATTACATATTATTTAGGAACAATGATGTTTGATAAAGTGATACTTGTGAAATTTGGAAATAATCTTTCCCTATATCCAAATGTGCCAGTTTACTCAGACAATTCAATAATTTGTAATAGAAGGAATGTAATATTTATTCTCATGGGCATCTAGAATAGAATAGCAGAAAGAGCACTCAATGGAGAGTCTGAAGAGTTCAGTCTTAGTCCAGGCCCTACCAATAATTCTCCTAGAGTCTAAGCAAACAAGTCTTTAGTAGAAAGAATAAACATTCTTATTATTAGTAGAAAGAATAAACATTTTCCTGACAGAATTTTAACACTTAAAATATAAATGCACATTTATTTACCAATTATTTGATGTAAGTCTAAGGCCTTTTTATTTGAATATGTGTTTCAAATATTATTTCTTACAGAAACAGCACTAAAATGTATAGTATATTTTAACTTATTTAAAATAAAACAAAAACGCCCGGCCGGGCGTGGCTCAGCGGTTGAGCATTGACCTAGGATCCAGGTGATCAGGGTTCGGTTCCCGGTCAGGGCACATGCCCGAGTTGTGGGCTGCAGCTGATCAATGACTCTCTCATCAATGATGTTTCTCTCTCTCTCTCTTTTCCTCTTGGTGAAATCAATAAAAAATATATTTAAAAAATAAATAAATAAATAAAATAAAACAAAAACGAAGACAAGTATAGATAGATTTTAGAAAGGATTATATCCTAATTTGTTGCAGCACATTTTTAGTAACCTACTTTTACTGACATTTTTTCCAAAGCTTTTAATATAATTTACCTAAAAACAATAACTATTTTACAAATGCTTTCATATTTTGCAATCATATTTTATTAATGTACTTATAATTTAATTATATTATCATCATAATAAGTACAATGGACTATAATTTAACAGCCTCTCATTAAGTATATGCCATCACAAGATAACAGAAGTACCCGAGTGTATCAGAAGGTAGCCTAGTGGCCTCTATTACCTACTTTTTTTCTGACAACAGTCAGTGGGTGCTACAAAGAGAATCAAGAACATTACTTAGTCCTGAAAGTGGTTAGGTAAAGGTAAGTTAAGAGTGCTTCTCCTATAATAGTGCTTCTCCTATAACTAACCCACAGTACCAGCGCACGGTTATATGCAGAAAGCAGATGTGACAGTAAAATTGGATTCTGAAGCCTAACTGAGCATCTTCAGATGTCAACATGTCTGTAAGACACCTATTATATGACTGATTTCTTGTAAAAAAGAAATAATATAGATGAGAATGCTTTACAAGTGATAAAGCTTATGTAAGATTACTATTAGCCTATACTTTTATAGAAGGTTTGGATATAATGTCTCCATTCTAGTTTTAATTCATTGCCTAAAATCAAAAAAACAAAATTGCAAACTTTTCCTATAAAGGGCCAGATAGTAGTAAATATTTCAAGCTTTTGGGCCATATAGTCTCTGTTGCAATTAATCAACTCTGCCATTATAGCATGAAAACAGACATAGACAAAATGTATATGAATGAGCATAATTTCGTCCAATAAAACTTAATTGACAAAAACAGACTGCAGGCTATAGTTTATCTAGCGCTTATCTAGAAAATGGAAAATCAATTTATTTGTAAGGGACTTCAATTGAGAAAAGCTCACTGTAAACATTCTTAAGTATGTTTCTCTTCTTTATGGATCTCAGAAAGGGGGATTATTTTTTGTTTTAATTGTATTATGCTACATGTAGGAAAATTATGTTTATTTTTGGTCTAATTGAAAACATTAATTAGTCAGATGTCTCATGTCATGGTTGAATCCAGAATGTATCCTCTTAAAATTGAGTTTGCCCAAGAAGTAGAGACTGGATCTATGGACCTAAGGAGTAACCATTTCCCATTTACATAATGAAATTATTTTAAATTCATTTACTAAACTTTTACATGCTACTATGGATAATATAAAAGTTACAGAAAATAAATTAATGGGAAGAGAGTGTGGGGTAAAAGAAAGGATGCAAGTTTCACTTTGTTGGTTTCTCTTTTAGAATTTTAATTAATCGATCAATTATTTCTTAATTAAATCATTTATTTTTACTATTACAGTTTACATACAATGTTATATTAGTGTCAGGTATATACCCCAGTGATTAGACACTATATAACTTACTAAGTGATCATCCTAATAAATCTAGTACCATCTGACACCATGCATAATTATTAGAATATTATTATTATTATTATTTTATTTAAAATATTCCAAATGTCCCTTTATCTCCCCAATGACCCATTCCACCCCATCCCCCCCCCCTCCCCAGTCCCTCTCC